AATGAGTTCTACAAACTTATAGAATTTATTTAAAAAAAAATTTATTAAATTTGATCAAGTTTTTGTTAAGGTATTAGCATTTAAAGTTGTTAAAAAATTTAATAAAAACAATTTGCTTGATTTCTACTGACTCAACCCCATATATTTTTTCAAATATAAACTTTATCTGTCTTAAGCCTATTTATATTATGAAAGCCAATGTTTAACACTTCTAACCCCTCTCTATTGCAGCCTAAATGCTTCTTGCTTGTATTGCTTCCTTGTAAAGATATAGGTCTGTTGCTACTTGCTGACCTATCAATATTAAAATGTGCTAGATCTATTTGTTTAGACCTCTCATCTATCATGTTTATCTGGCAATGCTCTGCTTCTAGGGTATCTCTCAACCCTTTTACCTAGTTCAACTGGGGCGAATTTTAGGATTTAATAAATCTATTATATATAATATTAACCTATAATTATATATATATATTTAATATTTTTATTATAAATCAAAAATATATACTATATATATTTATATAAATTATTTATAAATATATATACAATTTAATATAATATTTATACAATTTATAATTTAAATTAAATCCTAATTTATTATAACTTAACCTTAATATATATAATACCAACTCATACAAAATAAATTGATAATAATTTAATACAAGCTTATTATAATTTAAGCTTAATGATTCAAACCCATCATGGCTCAAGCCTACAGTACATAACAAAGCAACCATCCTAGTATCGCTTTAAAAATCAGTTACATATTTGAATTTAAATCTATTATATAGCACCCTTCAATGGGATCCGATCAACTCACTAACAATCACTTCGAAGACGTCATATTTTTAATTATTTTACAGACGATTAGCTTATTGACAAGTTCATTTCATAGACAGTATATTTTATCTACAGCTCATTTCACAGACGAAGTAAATTCTAGTCATTATCGTTAGGATGCAGTCTATAAAAAAAACATGTCTGTGAAATAAGCTGTCGATGAAATATACTGTCTACGAAATGAATTTGTCAGTAAATTAATTGCCTGTAAATAAACTTGTCGGTAAAATAGGTTCGTTGAAATGTGGTGTCTTTGAATTGAAATGATACGGACCCATTTCCTTATAGTTATTTCCTAATAATTAAAGTTACATCAGTGATATTTCTAGTTTTAAAAATTAGGACAAATTAAAAATTAATTTACTTCCCAATTTATTCCAAAAATTTATTCTCCGCCAATTCCATAATAGTAGCAAATAGCAATTTTAAAAATTCCATTAGAGCTATTTATTTTAACCAATTTTTAGTAACACTCAAATGCTTTGTGCTTATCCATTTCGACACCCAGTTTATGGTAATAACGAATTATTCATATTTACTGACTTTAGATAATAATTAAATATCTTATTCTCATCCTTTTCAACGTCAATTTCATGTTTATAGCAATAACCAAGTATGAATATCCTATAAGAATCTTCTTTTTTTGCTGATTTTTGTGGCAATCTGCAAAACTTCTTAGTCACCCATGCAACTGATCTTAGTGATGCTAGATTTGTGATAACAAAGTCCATCGTGACTCAGGCCATCTTGATTCAGGATTTTTGTGTCATACTTATCAAACTCAAGCTTGTCATAAATCAGTTCTAAATCCAAGCTTGTTCCAACTAGGATCTGATCATTCACCAACAATCACTTCGAAGGCGTCACATTTTACCGAACCCATTTTACCTGACAAGCTTAAGTAATTCTAGTCATTGTCGCTAGGAGCTAGGTTTAGAATTTGAGTTAAGGTTAGTGCAATCTAAAAAAAAAACTTGTCTGTGGAATAAGCTGTCGATGAAATATACTGTTTACGAAATGAACTTACCAGTAAATAAATCGTCTGTAAAATAAGCTTGTTGGTAAAATGGGTTCGGCAAAATGTAATGTCTTCGAAGTGATTGTTGTTGAAATAATATGAACCCATCGCAACCTAATACTAAATTTCTAAGGCAAATATAAATAAAAAAATCAAGGTAGAAAAACAAAAAAAAAAAATAAATATAGTAAAATAGATTAAATTTACCTAAAAACTCAGCTTCCAAATCTTTCAACATAATGAATAGAACGATGTGAAAACAAAAAAATAAATAAATAATAGGCTTGTAAATTTAAAAGCGGTCTACCTGAAACTCAGACTACTTCAATACTTCAGTACTTTCAAGATCTTGAAAAAAGTACAAGTTAGAATATCGTTAAACTTCTATTTTAGTAGTGCTATTACACGTGGCTCTCGATATAACGGACCATCGATATAACGGATATTTCTTAATACGGATAATCATAACGGAACCGAATTACGATTTATTATTATATCATGAGATTTTGATATTACGGGTCTTTTGATATAATGGAGCAAAGGACTGGAACCATGGCCTCCGTTATATCGAGAGTCACGTATATATGGCATATAATATTTTTACTCATATAAAACTACCTTTTACTGCGCGATGCAAGGCGATGCAACTTGAGCTTCCTGTAGAGGTGCTCTCTACGAGTTATCTGCGTAGTAAAATACGGGGTTGATATGTATTTTTTGATTAGCTGTTAGTTTACTTAAAACTCTCGATTTTGATTTTTACATTACTATACCATATAAATACTCGTGTAACATCAACCCCGGAATATATTGCAGTATTGTAAAATCCCCATAGTTTTTGATCGTGATCTGCAGATCTGCATTGTTGTGACAAATATTTGTTTTGATATATTTTATGTATTTGTAATGGTTTTTTTTTTTCGAAAAAAACATCATTCTTTTTTTCCCTTCTCTTTTTCCTATCAATTTTGTTCTCTTCCCATCACTTTTGTTTTCTTTTTCGTTTAATTTTTTGATAATAGTTTACGTTTCTAAATTCCTAAACTAATAGAGAAACCTAAACCCGACTTTCAAACAATGGACTTGACGTAGTTTTTGAAAGCACCCGGATCTAAAGAACTCCAACTAACGGGTAATACAGACACCTTCAACACTCAACGGCATACAAGTAAGTAACATACTTTCATTCTTTAATTGCCTTTATTTCTTCCATTCTATTTATTATAACCCACTATTATACGTATAACATTACATATTAGGTACCATTCTCAAGATTCAATTGCTTTCCTTTCTTCGCTAATTTGAGACGTGTATGGATTCGGGAGAGATTTAGAACCAGAGATTGTCGACGATGCACGAAACAACTATCGATCGTTCACTGGATCCCATTTTCACGACATTACTGGATAATTTTTTAAAAAAGAATTACAAGTAAGTTAATTTTATTGTTGAATTTTTTTTAATTATCCTTAGATGGGGGAGCTGTTATAAGCTCTATGCGTTATACCGAATTTACTTTTTTTTATATTTTATGGAGTATTATCTAGGCGGATGTTTTAAAATATTTTTAATATTTTAAACTCTGTCGCTTATATATACGGGGGTGGCTCGATTATACGGGTGAATTGGTTAAAGTACGGACTGAGATACTTTAGCTTGAATTTATGGTGAGTGTTCGCTGGTTCCGGATGAGGAATTAGTTACGTACTCTCGTTAGTACTGTTGTCAGTACTTGTAAAGACCATAAGTTTAGAAGTTCACTTGATAGGTTGTATATCCTCTTTGATGTTACCGCTGAGAATTGAAAGCTCATCGTGGCCACAGTTACTTGATACTGTGAACGTTCTTCTCAAGTTTCGGATAAGTGGATACGTAACAACACCCGCCCCTACACATATATTTAATTATTTAAATATATATTCTGCCGGAGAATTGAAAGCTCTTCGTGGCCACAGTTTGCAAATTAATTACCGGTACTGTGAACGTTCTTCTCCGGCTTCTTATAACTCCTTAAAAATATTTAGTAAAGCTCAAAATATTTTGAATAGGTGTTTCGCTTAACTCGTCTTTTATATAATATAAAAATTTGTACTTTATTTTTAACTTACTGGAAACTAATATTTTTTTCTTTTTTTTTTAATTAGTATCAAGCAAAAGAAGTTCGAAAAAATTTGAAAAGAAAGTATTTTTAGAAGAAAAGAAACAAGTTGCTACGAGAAAAAGGAATGAAAAAAGAAGATATATTTAGAAGAAGAAATTGATTGAAAAATTGTAGTTTAGATTGTATATATGTTCATAAACTGTATTAGTTGTATTAGTGAAAACGATGTAATTTTTAATAATTAATATATAATATAAATAAATTTATACAATTTTAAGTTTCGAACATGATTTAAATTAATATTGACTTTAAAATGTAGACATAAAAAAAAATAAACTTATTTTTTCTTTAATTGCATTAATATTTTATGATAATTATACAATTTTTATGCATTCGTAATTCTTTAAAGTTTGTTTATAACTGCTGTTGTGAGAATGCTCTATTTTACCTTTCGTCAATTTTCTATACAGAAGCCACTTGAACTGGAATTTGTAATTTTTTACAGAATCGTAATTTATATACTAATAGATATA